CTCTTTTATCCAAATGAGCAACCAAAAGACAGCAACCAAAACCGGCGCACAAAAGTGCATGGGTAATGGTTGCAAAACTGAACTGAACTGTTGTTGTAGTACCTATTCCAGTGTCAGCTCCTCTTTCCTACAGTGCTGGACAGTATGTCACTTGTATCGATAGCCATACATTTTGTACTTGCAGCAGCTCAACACTCGGGTATAAGACAACTACAGATCTCATTCTCCTCACTGTATCAGGACTCTCTTCGTAACTAGTTCTCTTCTGAACACAGGTTTTAAGTCTTTGATAGCATCACGGTTACCCGATTTAACATGTGCCTGCGAAATTTGGGTCACATATGTTTTGTCCTCCTTAGTTCCAGAAGTTCGGTTGACTCTTCCCATACGATATGGCATGTCAGCATACACAGACCTGTTCACACTAAAGATGCATGCATACAGTTATACACATTCAATTCATGCCCTCAAGTGCACGATATTGTTTGCGTATCACTCGCTACCCGGATTCCGTTCGGAACCATCGGTCGTAACCGATGTTTGGAGACACTGGGTGATATGGCTGGGTGACGNGCTGGGTGACGTAAACAGTGGCGTTCGTGCATCTCAATTTCTCCGCATTATTAGTCCTCTGAACTTCTCAGTTTTCTCTCCGATCCCGCTTTCAACCATCTTGTTTTCCTCCTGTTGTTCACCCAAACGAGCAGCCAAAAGACAGCAACCAAAAGCGTCGCACTGAAATGCATGCTTATTGGTTGTTTAAACTGAAACTCTGAACTGTTTGACTGTTTGTTGGTTAGGCTGATTCGGGCAACATTGATGATTGAAAGCTGCTCGACTGGATTTTCACCTGTGATGGTTTGCTTTCAAGGATTGGTCCTGTGCTTCTTGGTTATAATCCTTCCAGACGCCTTGCTCGCCGGGTCCCATCAGTGTTCTCTACGACTGTTGTCTCTCGTCTGTGTCTGTGTTGCTTTTTTATCTTTTCGTGACTTGACTCTCTCTCTGTCTGTCTGTGTGCATGCGTGCGTGTGTGTTTCAGTGGACTGGATAGGGTAATCCATGACTGGGCATTTCCGGTACAGACAGATTCGCACATGTAACGGTGCGTTTGACGGAAATTTGTGATTTTTCGCTTAAGAAAAATCCGTTGTCTAATGGAAACTTACCACGTTCTCCGAAATCACTGGTGCTCTCCCATGACTGTCTTTTTGGTCAAACAATTCCCACCTATCCACGGTTAATCATCCAAGTGTCCCTTCTCCGTTTGGTCACCTCGGTGGTGTGCAGCTGCGCTGGTGATAGACTTGCATTATCCCACAGTCTCCGGAATGTTTTGTTCTAACTGTCATTTCTTGACTGTGCGCACGTATCACTCACCATCAAACTAGGTCATAATGCAAAGCAGTCTGATGGTTACATGTAAGACTTAAAACTTAGTACATTCGAGTATGAGCCGGCACCAGTTTAGTAAATGTATACTGATGATGATTTCCAACAAGTTCCAGACAGCGGTATGACGTTTTAAATATTTTTCTATGGTCTGACTGGTGAAAGCTGAGTCTGTTTGTAACTAATTCACCCCCGTACTACTACTCAAGTATATAAGGCTAGTAATAATAGAAATAGTAATCCTTTGGATAATCTTTTTCTTCTCACCGCAGATAGAATCAGTCAGTCCAAGCTCGTCACAGGAAAACAAAACAGTGGAGCAGTTAGACGGTAGTGATAACTGGAATCGAACACGTGTGATTGTCATTTATATCACTCGGTCAACCCATCCGGCTGTGTGGAGTGTATAATAAGTACATTATTAAATGTTTCGTCCGCACACCACCAATGTCCGATTCGAAGTCAAGTGACTCGCGGATCGCTACATTGGTTGATCCTATATGCACAATGTATACCACAACGAAAGACTGGTCAATGAAGTATACGCATCTGTCCGTAGTTCATAACCTGTCCGAACTAGATTCGGAAGCACCAAATCCGACTGCAGTACATTTGTTCATCGTGCCCCCTGTATTTCCCTTGGGTTACAAAGAGCGTTTGTAGAATTTTCGCAAACGATTGCCCATTGTGCTTGCTTTCAGATTGCTATTCATCGTTGCATCATTGTCAGCATCATAATTGATTAAACGATGGATAGAAGAACTCGTGAAATAGTGTGAAACGTTACACTCCGATGCGATAGGCAGACTATCGAGTCGGTTGGTATCACAGCCTACTACTACCAAAGTTAGATGACCATGGGAGGGTTCGAACCTCGATCCTTAACCTGAAACAAACCAGTAACATCAAGACCGTGCGCATCCCCCTATCCTTCTCCGTTCACACTTCGCTTAGCCTCTTTCCGATTGAATGAATCACTGTCTAATCACCGATAAGTCAGCAATTATCTGTGACGTATATGCGCATTCTTTCTCATCCACTTCCCGATTGCCACATCGCATGCCACTTTTATCTGGCCATCTTGTTGAGCATCGGTTTAAGGGAATAAATTCGCCTGACTGTTTGCTCCCTCTTGATTGCTCCAGGCTCGTCGTGAAAAAGAACGCAAAGAACGTGAGCTGCAAACGCGTGAAGCTGAGGAACTGGAGTTGGCACTCGCACTCAGTGCCAGTGAGGCCGAGTGCAAAGAGCGTGAGGTAAGCTCATTTCCCTCGTCCTCTGGGTTTCCTTAATTTGATGATTGATGTATGTATACATTATTTTTGAACAATTGTGTAGCTTTGGTGCCTGTTTTTTCTTCTACGGGCTCCCCTTTGTATTCCGCATTAATTCATATACGCTCGCGGCAGTTCAATCACCTCTCCTTCTCATTCTTTTCTCCTTTGTCAAGGGACTTCGTTTTCGATACATCATTCTCAGGGAGTAAATTTCTTTTGTGACAATTGAATCTGATCGTATAAATCTTTCTCACTCACTTATGAGTGGTTATTTTCACGTGCTGTGCCTAAATCTTTTGGCTTCCGTTACTTCCAGCTTGGTTTTACTCGTTTGCCGAGTGATTTTCTAGGATTCGTTCACTGATTTATGCCTCAAGTTATAGAGGTCTTAGATAAGAGTTGGCTAAATAATAGCGACCAATCAGGTCGACTCTGATCTCAGGAACAGGACAGTCTACCAGCTAAGAGGTGCGCTACCCTTACCCTTACCTAAGTGACTTTTCTATACGGCCTAGGATTGCATCCGTCTATGTGTAGTTGAATTAGTCGTAGACGTGTAGCAGCGTCCAGCATCCGAGGATACAGTCGTTTGGATCCAATCAAGAAAATATTCGTTTTTCCATTAAACTCGGTATTTTATTCTGGACCGAATCAAATTGCCAATTCTCTTATTCCTGACACGTCTTCACGTTTGATTTATCAACTGATAGGATCCACCTCCCCCCATTAACTAACCCACAATACTGGTTTGTCATTCTCTGCTTCAATCTTTGGTTCACATTAGCGTCGTCAAAACGCCCGCCCGATGGAGACAGGTCACTCGGGATATCCGAATGTGCGTAGTGAAAACGGACCGATGCAGCTGTTACCGGTGCTTGACACAAGCGATATGGATCCGGAATTGGCGCGTTATTTGAATCGTCATTATTGGGAAAATCGGGCCAATGCGTTGGGTCAGCAGAACACATCCAAAATGGGTCAGGATACCATATCACCGTCACCAGTTCCACAACCCAGTGCACCGAGATATTCTTCTCCGGTACCGTCTTCACTGCCGTCGTCTGTTGCAGTGCTGAAGAATCCTGCACCCGGACCTATTGACGGGGCTGAGGTAAGTCATCAATACCGTTGCACCCAGAAGCTCCCTCCCAAAAAACTTCTTATTTCACAGCTGTCAGTACTGTTCTCACATCCGGTTCAGGGTCGCAACGACGCTATGCATGCTGCTCGTCCTGCGGTATAGTCCAAAGACCCGACCGTTTTGAAGACTATGGGTGTTAAAGTTAGCGAACAATGGTGTGTTCCAGATTTCGAACTTTTTCAGATAGCCGTAGATAAGGGTTGCTAGGATGTTGTACTGTGTAGGCTACCTCGGTTTACTGTTGTGGACGTGGCAGGCAGCAGCTAGAAGTAAACCAAACGGCTTCAGGTTATAACCAGACTGGAAACTAAGAAATCCGTGAACGGTAAAGTTGGTCATTTGGGTCATGTTAGGGATCTGGTGATCAGCTTAATGTATTCACTTTCTACGCGCATCTAGTTAACTTGCATTTTGTATCTTCATCTTGATGCTGCACTCAACGTGAAAGATATTCATCGTCTAGATGTCTTCGACTGTCAATTTTTATGTAGTTTGGCGCGGGTTGAATGAAAGGAACGTGTAAGCAACTGTGAGGTAAGCCGTCGCGTATTTGATAAAGATTTGGTGGAAGATTCGTTATCACTCGGAATTCGGACCAGTTAGCTTCGCTGGTTAAAACACGTATTATGCATGTTTACCTGTTGTCTAGTGCACCGCGCCTTATTCGCAGTTGCTGCTTCGGGTCGGAGGAAACCCCGTGGACGTCACCAATTAACGTCGAAATGAGGCTTGAATAAATGCACAGAGCGACCAGGTACAGTAGATGTATCCCTCCTTTCAGGTTGGGATCCAAGAGATTCTGTAACTGGTTGCTTGGGGACACTGAAGGATATGGAATCCAACCGACAACAACAGCGTTCTTGTTGTCATCCCTTATCGGGTCAGAATACCTGAAGAGATATGTGTGCACAGTTGGGTTTTACATTGTCTGTTGACCATAGTGGTTCACTTTCTCCTTTCAATTAGGCACCAATCCTATCCGTTTTGTATTTGCACATTGAGAGCTTGGCAGCGATCAGAGAAGTTCACTTCTCTATACCTCGTACCGTGATGATGATGATATTTGTGGCGCCGTCGCGACATCCGGCTGTCTGTGAAGGGTCGAGTGTATGCTGCAGCAGTTCGGCCAGTCCTGCTCTACGGTGCAGAGACTTGGCCACTAAAGGAACAGGATAAAAATAGATTGTCGGTGTTCGAACACCGCTGTCTACATAGCATTGCACGTGTCTGGTGGGGTAACCGGACTAGCAATGCTGAGGTTAGGCGTAGAGTTTTAGGCAGTCGCGGTCGTCCACTAGAGCAAGTGATCGACCTCCATAGATTACGTTGGTTGGGACATGTGCTACGCATGTCACCAGATAGGTAA